TGGGTGGTGCTCGTTTACCAGCACCCTGCCCTTCGTGACAGGGACCTTGGTGACCACGAGAGGAGCAGAGCTCACTTTGTCTGTAACGTTGGGGCCCCAGCATCCATAGAACCTATAGCTGACGTTGTTTGCCCTTACCAGTAGCTGATTAACCCTGCTCTTGTTCTTTGTTACAGTGACCCCTGCAACCCTGAGGTCACTTGCTGAGCTAAGCAGAAGAGGGAGCAGCTATGTAGGAATAGGAGGACCTGAGCTGTAACCAGTCCTTGGAACACTGGTCGCTGGTGCTGCTCCTGGAGCACTCCAGGAGCCAAAGCGAGTGTTTGGGCTAGAGGGCTGCCTTGCAGCAGATGACAGAATTCCTAGCAGAAATACAGCTGTAGGAGCAGAAGTGTCATAGCACTTAGCTTGAGAAGATGTTATTGCGTATAGAGGTAAAGGTGGCTGTTGTGTTCTTAGATGATCTTTTTACCAGTGCCGTAGAGACCTTTCCCTTCCCTCTGCCAGGGCTGTATGGTAGGGTACGTGCTCCTGTCAGTCTTCCCGCAGGCTGCATCGCTGCCAGCCTTCCAGCGAGATTGTGATGATAGTCTGTAAGGCTGTGTGACCATATGGTATGTTGGACTGGCAGTAGTTTGTAGCTGTGACTTTGCTTTTTTTTTTGTGCTCAATAAAGGCAATTTATACCACTCATCTTTGTATTGTGTGCTTTAATATACTGTCAGTGCACCTATGCGTCATTTCTCCACAGAACTTGCATGGCTTTAAAATGTTGCCAAATAAAAGCATACTGCTACATTCAGGAAATGAGGAGGGAAAAAAAAAAATCCCAGCAGGCAAAGGAAACATCATTATCTGACCAGAATACCAGCTCCAGATTCTTCCAGCTTTAAACTCTGGGAGATCTTTATGTCGTTGTTCTGCCCAGACTAATAATGTGTTCGGAGGGCATTCAGTTCAGCTTACAAGCTTGGGTAGCACCACAGCTGGGACTGATACTCTCCCATACAGAAAGTGGTGCGAAGCTCCCTCTTGTGATCGTTTGCTAGACACCTGGCTCCAAGCAGGCCTGAAGGTGTGGGAGGGATGGCTGCTGCTCCTGCCAGCAGCCTGAATTCTTCACAAGGTCTTCCAAGTGTACAGTTTGTGTTTGGGCATACGCCGAGTACGGCTTGGTGACCCAGGGAAGAAATGGCAGCTGCACACTGAGATGACTCAGCTAACTGCAGTGAGCTGGGATGTTAAAAAATGGCAGAGTCCTTAAAATGTTCTTGCTCAAAGCACCTAGCTAAAGGCATCGCTTTGGTGGAGCGTCAGTGGCCCTTAAAGCATACCTGTTCTAGGGTGGCAGCTGGGGCTGGTGAGACCACCAGAGCGTTGCCTAGACTGTGCCTGGGAGGCCTGGAAGCTGGCAGGATGGCGTTTCCCAGCTTATGGCTGCCTGTCCTGACAGAAGTGAAGGCAGTGTTGCCACGTGCAGCTCCAGGACAGCAGCATCTTGTGGTAGAAACGAGTGTCTCTAGGATGCCTGCTGCTCTCCTTCCTTCTCATAGTGTCTGGGCAGGTCCCGTGTCCACATCGGAAGGTGTCCTTCCACCTTGGGAAGCTTTCTGGCAGGCAGGATCCTTGACTTGGGCCATAAGGGTGTGGCTAGGCCTTTATCATTTGAAACCCATCTTCTCAGCAGGGTCCTCTTTTACCAGTAGATGTTACGGTCAGTGCTGTGCTACTTGCACAGGACAGATGCTTATGAAGGACTCTCCACCCCAGGCAGAGTGGTGTGTAAATGCCCTGCTGCACTCTTTGTGTTGGCAGTGGCCGGCTAGTTCACACTCATGCAGGCTTTGAGTACCTACGTGCCTGTATTTTATGTGGGTTAGGACAAGCTGAGACGAGTGTGGGGAATAGTCTGGCTCATTTGCTGAGTGACAACTGCAATAAAGATGATTGGAACTTTTTCGTTTGCACTTCCACTGCAAGCAGACATCAGCATGCAGAATGCTTCAGACTGTGCCTGCCTACCTGATTTGTTTCTGTGCAGAGCGATACCTGTCTTCCTTAGCTATGACTCATTTGTTAGAGAGGGGTTATACACAGGAAAATTAATTGTCTTGAGTGTGTATTTTTTTAATGATCTAGTAAACTAAGAGCTCTTTCCTTCCTGGCAAGTCTTCTGGTGGAACTATATAGGGGATGTTCCCTTGAGGGTGGGTAACACACACAGACCAACTGCCAAACCTGTTACGTGCTCGATGGCTGAATTTGTAGTTTCCAAGTCAGGAAAGGAGCTGCTGACAGCCCTGATTCTGGATTTTTTTTTTGTTTTTTTGTTAAAGGGGGAGACGTTGGTTCATGGGACAGCTGCAAGCCCCAAAGAGGGTAATGAAGAGGGGTCAGAGAACGACCATGGAGTGCCTTCGTCCAAAAAGATGCAGGGGGAGCGTGGAGGAGGAGCGGCTCTCAAGGAGAACGTGTGTCAGGTAGTGTTGTTGAAGAGATCTCTTTGAAACTTTACTACTATGAAGTTTTTTCGTGTAAGTTCTGGCACGTGCTAGTGCCCCAGCTAAGTCTAGGTAGCCTCAAGGTGTTTATTGTAGAATTAACTGGCTTCTTGTGCTCTGAATTGAGCCTTTCCTCTGTAATTGCCTCTCTCCCTGCTAAAGTCCACAGGTGTTAGGGAGACGTGGCCAACGTAGGATTCATTTTAGCTGATGTGTGTTAGTAAGGACTGGATGGCAAATGGCAGCGCTAAAGGCACAAACCACCTGAAATTACTGACACGAGGAAAACAGCATTTTTCTGTGGAGGTCTCTGCTGGCAGTCCTGGCCAGCACATGGGTTGTTGCTGTCTGGGACGAGTTGGGGAAGGAGGTTGATCGGAGCTGACACTGTGCTTCCTTCCCCGCAGGTCTGCGAGAAGCCAGGGGAGTTGTTGCTCTGCGAGGCGCAGTGCTGTGGTGCTTTCCACCTGCAGTGCCTTGGGCTCTCCGAGATGCCAAAGGGCAAATTCATCTGCAACGAGTGCTCCACAGGTACGGCAGCTTCTGTGAGCGCGGGAGGACAGGGTGCTTGCTGTGTTCTTACCTGATGCCTGCTTTGCTGGAGAGGTGTGCCTGGTGCCTGCAGCAGGGCCGCTGGCTAGCTCTCACCCTTCTGATTACTGGTTTGATTTTTGATAATGACTTTCTGATTAACTTGTCTTACTGTTGATTCAGGCATGTAGAGTGCGAAGAAGTGTACATCCAGGATCTGGTGGGAAAGAGAAGGGGAAATTCTTACCTGGGTCTAGGGAGAGAGGGCTGCTGGGGAGGATGAGTCTGAAGCAGGCTGGAAAGCGGGGAATGTCTGAGTAGGGTTGTCAATTTTTGTTTTTCCCTTTATATTTCTCTGGTCTGAAATCATAGCTATAATAATACTTTTTTCGATCTGGAGTTTTATTGCAGCTGCAGGCAAAACCATCCTGCTGCAGAGACCTGTGCTTTGGGATAGGTACGGCAGGTTGGGAGGTTGTGCTGTGCTAATACGCGGCCTGGTGGAAGTCTCAGCTCTTCCTGTAGCCCTTGTGTGTGACTGGTGTTACGTCTGTTGCTCTTTCTCCAGGGGTCCATACCTGCTTTGTGTGCAAGAGCTGCGGGGAGGATGTAAAACGGTGCTTGCTGCCCCTCTGTGGGAAGTATTACCATGAAGCGTGCATACAAAAGTATCCGCCCACCGTCATGCAGAACAAGGGCTTCCGATGCTCGCTGCATATATGCATGACTTGTCATGCTGCTAACCCAGCAAACATCTCTGCATCTAAAGGTACCGAAATCTTCCAGGGTGGTCTAGGGGATAGAAGCTTTTTCTTTGTTTCATGTCCACTGTGCATTTACCTGGTCCACTACTACGTTACGTTGATCTTCTGTGCTTGCTGCAAGGTTTGCTGTAGCGTTTGCCGAGGAACAGCTTCTCTCAGGGAAGTGGAAGGTGGTGTCGGTGTGTGAGGTTGCTGCTCATCAGCACTCCTCATGGTCGGACACGGCAACTAAAATGTTCTTGTCCGTTCAGACGTGTGGATGCCTGCACGTCCAGCGATGCGATGGGCCTCTCTGGGTTTTTGAATAAATCTCTGGAGCTGTACGGACGCTCTCATGGTTCCCCTACTTTTCACTGTGCCAGTGCTGCAGACGATGCCTGCTTAGCAGCAGTGGCTATCAAGGCAACGGCATGGAGAGCAGCATAGTGAAAACTGTGATGATTGTTCTAGTTATCCTTTTTTTATAATGAAAACTCTCGTCTTGTAGTAGTGACACCCTTGGTGTAGGCTTCTCAGGCAAACATTTGTTTGAGATGTTTGCAGGAGTACCTTGACCTTTATCTCACATGATTTAACTTAAAACTTCTATGTAATTGCTTTGTATATTGCTTCTAAAGCTGCCTTTCTTTAAATCCTTGGGATCTTAAGACAGTAAGACCAGTTCTACTTTTATCCTCAGGGTCTGTGTTAAAGTTATCCTTTTTTTTCCCCACGTAGCAGTATTTGGTGTAGGAGACAGCACTAAGGCCTAAAGCACACAGCTGACCACTTCCCCACTGAACGTTTGTGTTGTGTTCCTCTGGCTGCTGCTTCTCAGTGGGCCTTTCCTCCCGCCTCTTCTCCCTGCTTGTGGTCTCCTGAGAGGAACTGAAAACAAGGTCTTGGAAACCTTGGGGAAATTAGGCCTATAGGCAGTTCTGAATTATCCATTCTGGAATTTCAGGGTAAAATCTGATAACGTGGAGAGGCAAGTACTGATGTTTTCAGAAGCTACACGGATTGGTTTCGTTGTGTGCAGCTAAGCACTTGGAACACCCCCTCTGTAATTACTCTCTGAGCTGATTTACTAATTATTTGTGTATGATAGGAAGCAGTCATAGTCTGTGAACTCTTGAACTGTTTCTGCACAGCATGCAGGAGGTTTTTCACTTCCGAATGATATAATTTTGTGTATGTTATATACAAATACGTATTAAAGATATTTATAATTTTATATATATTTAGTTAAATAATTTAATAGACATCTAGTGAGTATGTAGTGGACAGCCCATAGACACTAAAGGTTGGTTTCCTTTTCCAAAGATCACCTATGGTTGCTTGTTTGGAGCTTAGGTATCAGTAGCAGATAGTTTTGACAGGAAACAAAGAATCATCCTCCTTTAGAGCTTCAGTGTGTTGCCGACATGTTCTGGTGCTAGGTCGCTTGATGCGCTGTGTGCGGTGTCCCGTTGCGTACCACTCCAATGACTTCTGCCTCGCCGCTGGGTCCGTGGTCCTCGCCTCCAACAGCATCATCTGCCCCAATCACTTCACTGCACGGAGAGGCTGCCGCAACCACGAGCACGTCAACGTCAGCTGGTGCTTTGTCTGCTCGGAAGGTGAGACAGCCTGTGCTGGATCCCCCATCACCAAACAAGGCCCCTGACAGGAAGTCATTAGAGCAGGCAGAAGCTTTGCCCATCCAGAGCGTGCCAGTGAGAACTGCAGACAACAGCTCCTATCGATCCCCATTTAAATCCAACTTCAGGCTAGAACTTTTTCTGGATCCTCAGAAGGGTTCTTGGTGCAGCACGAGTAGGACACAAGCTGTTGAAAAGGGTTTTCAAAAGAGCATCATGCCGTTTCCTCAGCTGTTTCTGTCTGGACGTGTTGAGTCCAGGGCCTCTGCGCAGTGACTCTGATTAATTCCTCCTCCTTTGCTTTGCAGGTGGCAGCCTTTTATGCTGCGAGTCGTGCCCGGCTGCATTTCACCGTGAGTGTCTAAACATTGAGATGCCAGAGGGAAGCTGGTATTGTAATGATTGCAAGGCAGGCAAAAAGCCACACTACAAGGAAGTAGTCTGGGTGAAAGTTGGGCGCTACAGGTAGGTGGAGGTAGAACAGACTTGTCCCTATCCTTTCCTCATGCAGTGCTAATGGTGACTGAGGTGAGAAGCTGCTCCTCTCTGCAGGGTACAGAGCAGCAGCCTCTGGCTTCTTTGCATACACGTAGAGGCTGGTAAAATGTATGCTTTTGTCCTCCAGTAGCCTCTTGCCTCCCCACCAGCCTTGCTGGTAGCCCTTACACACTTTTCGCCGTGTCTCCATGCAGTAGCATGCTTCTGAAGTGGGGAAGCCAGAGGTTTCACCTGCCCTTCCCTGTGTCTGCAGGTGGTGGCCAGCTGAGATTTGCCATCCTAGGACAATTCCTGTCAACATCCAGAAAATGAAACATGACATCGGCGAGTTCCCTGTGCTGTTCTTTGGCTCCAAGGATTACCTGTGGACCCACCAGGCCCGTGTGTTCCCTTACATGGAAGGTGACGTCAGCAGCAAAGACAAGATGGGGAAGGGCGTGGATGGCATATACAGGAAAGGTAACTTCTTTTCATCCGGAGAGGTACACAGTCTGTTTCTCTTCATTCCCAAGTGGAGAAGTGGTGTTCTTGTAACAGAGGAAAACGTCTTCTTAGAGCTAAAGTGAAATTTTATTTGTAGAATGAGCTTCTGCTTATCTATCATCTGGTGCACTCAGAGTGTTCATTGGTCTGGACTCCCAGAGAGGGAGAAGGGTGTGCAGATCTTGAATGCTTCTCCAGCTCTGACATACCTGCTCTAAATCTGAATGAGCTGCTGCTTTGTCAACTTCCCTGACAGTATCCATATATAAAAATGCACTTGAGAGTTACGAATGCAGCTGCCTGACACCTCTGCCCTAAAGCAGGCAAAGCTAGCTGACAGTTTGGGTGCTTCCTCACCCACGGAGAGGTCTCTTACTCCTGCAACTGCCCTGCAGCAGTGGCCTTTCCTTCACCGCCCCTGTGGTGAACCTCTCCCTGTGAAGTACATGGCTAGGACTGTTTGCTTGTGGAGCTGAGCGCTGCGTGGACACTGGCAGCCCAGCTCTGTGTGAGCAGTGAGTGTTCCTTGTAACACAGCCTGTTCTCTCTCTTAGCTCTTCAGGAAGCTGCAGTAAGATTTGAAGAGTTGAAGGCTCAGAAAGAACTGAGACAGCTTCAGGAAGACAAAAAGAATGACAGGAAACCTCCTCCCTACAAACACATCAAGGTGAGGGCAGGTGGGGGGGGACAGGTGCAGAAGAGAAGTCATAAGATGTCGGTGCAGGTGATTTACAGGTATACAGAAACACTTCTACTGTTGGGGCATCTGGCTGCATTTGGAGGTTACTTTGGTCCTATTGGCACCTTCGGTCGTCCTCCACAGAAAGGATTCATGTATGCGCAGAGCTATATGGAAGCTGGACACCAGTAACAGAGGTACTCTGATTTACTGGAACAGATCTAGACATCTGTATGCTGTTCCGTGGTCTGAAGGCAGTGTCTCTCCACCTTGGGGACCTAGGGGAGAGTGCTAGTAATATGCAGTGTCCTCGAGTACTGTGTGCTAGTGATGGCAAGGTGGCCATCCCAGGTGGTGCAAGGTAGGAGATGGTCAGGGTGCAGTGGAGCAGAGCTGTGGGGAGGGTGGTAACCGACACTGGAGCTTGGCAGTATCTTATTTCAGCTCTGCTATGTTTATAGCTTTTTCTGTATCGGTCAGTGACTGACCAGAAATACTAGACAGAAGTATGTGTCGGAATAGCAACCCTTTTTCTGAGTTTGGAGGAACTCTTCAGGTTTTAGGGCTGTGTTTTGAGTTAGAAGTAGCGTAGTAGTAGAAGTCCTACAGGATGGAAGTGAGTTGAGAGGAGAGGGGGCTCCAAGTGGGTACGTGTGCTTGAGATGTGGGTTCAGACTGATCGGAAACCCAGTGACTCAGGGACTGTGTTCCTCTTTTTTTCATTGCCTCCCTCTGCTCCTTCCCTTTTTTATGTGGCAAACTGTGAAAGCTTAACTGATTGCTGGTACTTTTTGTTTCTGGCTAGGATTTCTAGGCAGGCAGGTATATCCCATGTGAGTTACTGTACAGTGTAAAGGACGCAACTGAATGCTGCGGCAGCAGTATGGGCCCAGCAGCTCCAGTGGAGGAAATGCAGTTTTTCATTAGAAGTATTTTTAAGCCTCTGTCTGCCTGCAACATGAAGGAGCTTTGGAAGCCATTTTAAGCCTTTGAAATACCATTTTAATATAAGTAATAACAGCCATTGTCATTAGCTATGGCAGTTCTTCTCAGGTCTGGGTGCAAGCTGTTTGTCTCTCTGAAAGCAAATGAGACAGCTTGCAGGAGCATACGGTGAACTGAGCAAGGCTGCAGGGTGGAATGGCCAGAGCTGAATGTGTCTGCTCCCGTCCTGGCCTTCTAAGGAGACCTTGGGGTCCATCTCAAAGAGCATCAACATGAGAGGCTGCTGGAAAGTACACTTGAGATCCTTCATCACATCAGGGTTGTGGCTAGTCCAAGCATCGCCCTGTTCTGGAGCTGGTTTTGTACCAGCAGTGCCTCAGAGAGAAGGGCTAGGCCTGCTGGCATGCGTGCGCCCCAAGAGGGGCCCCATGGGCAGACACCGTGGTTGCTCGGGTGGCAGTGCCGGAGCCAGCAAGGACACCTCTGTCTGCCTGGTGGTGGACAGTCCTAATCCCGTGAGTCTCATCACTCTTAACGAGGTGAAGAGCTAACAGCCCGAGTAAGAGAAGGGAAGCAGCAGAGGAGAACACTGGAGTGACGAGGAAGGTCGGAGGTGGGAGGCAGTATTAGGAAGACGGGGAGACTCTGTGTGTTTGAAGAGACTAATCTGGGCTTTCTGCAGGGTGTGCTTCTAATCAGAGAAGGAGGAAAGGGGCCCCCCCCAGCCTCTGCAGGCTACCAGCGTAGAAACTTTGCTCCGTGGGTGGGACTAGATAGATTGTGAGGGGGCTGAAATAGTTTTGCTAAATGATCCTCTCCTTTCATGTTCTGGAAGAGGAAGGGGAGCTGATGGTATTGCTCGCCTGGGGAAAGAACAGCAAGGAGCTTTTCTGCAAAGTCCTGACTCTCTGTTGCCTGCCTTTCAGCGTTCGCTGCCTTTAACCAAAACCAAAGGACCCTGCTCGTGCCACAGACACGCCAGTCACTTGTCCACCTGGTGCTGCGCTCTGTTGCCTTCCGGAGCAGTTTTTAGAGAGCTCCTTGGCTTAACTCTGAGCTCCTCTTTGGGCCTTCCAACCCCAGCCTTATCTGGTTTTTCTTTCATTTACATCTGCAGGACAGCTGGATAGGGAGCTAACGGCTTGTGGCCTGGTGCGTAGGTAGGCCCTGTGTACTCTTGTCACAGGTGTGCCAGCCTGGTTCTCGTAGTGACAGCTGACAGCAAAACGCAGCTTGAAGGTATCAGATTAAAAAAGCAGGGCTGTAAGGAAAAGGGTCTGACACTCGGAGACTGGAGAAGGTGCTGTTTCATGCAGAAAATGGTTTGGTGTTGGTCACAGGTATGGTGTGCACCCAGCGAGAGTGCTGGGCCACCTGGGGTGGATGTCAGCACATTGGTGATGGGGCGGATGGACACACACTTGGCAGCCTCTCCCCGCTCCGGGCTCACAGAATACACACTGCACCAGGTGATGCTAATGCGGGACCTGCATCCTCCTTATCTCTTTGCTTTACCAATATACCTCTTGAAATAGTATGTCCAGAAGTACAAATGTACCTGTAGTTGTGTCCTTCTGCCCCTCTCTGTAACTAACTCACGCTGCAGCCTGTCGGCTCGTAGGCAAGGGCTGAGTGTAGAAGTGACTATCAGATAACCTGTTGTTCTTAGGAGCTAAAGTCCTTTGTGTGCATTCAAGGTGAACCGGCCGGTGGGGAAGGTGCAGATCTTCACTGCAGACCTGTCTGAGATACCACGTTGCAACTGCAAACCAACAGATGAAAACCCATGTGGCCTGGACTCCGAATGCATCAATCGCATGTTGCTCTATGAGTGCCACCCCATGGTCTGCCCTGCTGGGGAGCGCTGCCAGAACCAGTGCTTCTCCAAGCGGCAGTATCCCGAGGTACAAATTTTCCGCACGCTGGCACGAGGCTGGGGCTTGCAAGCCAAAACAGACATCAGAAAGGTACATGCTCTGTTTCTGCATGTAATTTTCTCTTGGCACTTCTCTCTTGCTCGGTGTTGGTTTCAGTAGATTTGAAAAATTACTAACTTCCCATAATTTGAAGAAGACTTCTTGCTGTAGAACGCCATTTAGGAAAGAAATGGATGAAGTTAACTTTTCCAGTCCTGACAAGAATGTTCTGGCTCAGCTATCCGAGAAAATGGTTTGCATGATGATGTCCCACAGGGTAGAAAGATGATTGCTTGATCTGTCTGCTTATATGGACGACGGGCTTTATGAGTACACCAGAACACTGGCCTGAAGACAGTGCTTAGGATTTCCACATGGGGAACAGTGATTAAACCTCCCCTCCATTCCTGAATAGCCAGGCTTTTCCAGCATGAGAATCTTGTATCAGAAACTGAAGCCAGGCCTTGGCTCTTACGAAAGGGTGATGGTTTGGAGATAGCTATTACTATTGCTGAGACTGGTATCTCCAGCTAAAACACTTGTGTATATATTTTTTAAATCCAGAGAACAGTAGTTCTGTGGACAGACATCTGTGTTGAATGAAGAAGGAAGAATGTTAAAGCGAAGAAGACCCCAAATCTAAGAAAGGGTGAAGTGAAACAGAGGGCAGTTAGCATAGTAGGAGAAGAATGTCTGAAAAAGGAGTAGGGACAACATGCTAAGAGGGAGGGCTTGCTAGCAGAAGGAAAAACGTGAGTCTGTCCTGCTTAGGCTTTGTGTCTGCTGTGATATAGGTCAAAGGATGTCTGCCATTGCATGCACCTGCAATGTTTCACTTTGAGCAGTCTGGAAACAGTAGAACTGAGTTATTTAATGGAGGCACCTGCTACCCAGCAGAGCAGAGCTGGGCTTCCCTTTGAGGGCTGAAGCGTGGTCTCTGAAGTACTTCACTACAGGGGAGCTCCACGGGCTCGCTGCAGGAGTAGGTGCCCTAGGTGCGTCATGCTGCCCAGTGTGGTTGGTCCCCAAAGGGATGCTGTGTCCGCCTGGAATGCAGTTACGCAGTGCTTTGAGCTGAGCAGCGGAGAGCTGGTCTTGTGGTTTACTTTTGTGCTGTCCATAAATGTTCATTCTGTCCATAGCACAAAGAATAGCCTGATGGCCGTTGTTCCTTTATTTAATTTATTTCAAGTTATTTGTTGAATGCATGAAACGTATGTACGATTTGGGGCTCTTCGTGAAGATTATAGGTCAAACCGGCTGCAAAGCACAGAGGAAGATTTTGATGAAAAGATTTCCACAAAGGAAACGGGAACTAAGTTTTAGCACGAAGGTGGATGTCCCTCCATCCTGGAGGCAATTTGTCTCACCTTGTTCTCTCTGTGGCAGGGCGAATTTGTTAATGAGTATGTTGGGGAGCTAATTGATGAGGAGGAGTGCCGAGCTCGAATCCGCTATGCTCAGGAGCATGACATCACCAACTTCTACATGTTGACACTGGATAAGGTATGTAGAAGGAATTTCTCATCAGGATCCTAGGCAAAAGTAAAATGATTGCAAGGAAGGCATGATAGTGGTCTTCTCCAGCAACTAAATCGGTGCTAATGGTTGCTGATGAGCTGGTCTGCATTTCCACTGACAAGAAGACTTAAAAGAATGAACTAAACATGCAGTAGAGAAGTTTCAGGTTGGATATTAGGAGGAAAATCTGAACCATCTTCTTCAGAGTTTATTCCGAAGAGGTGAGGCAGTTGTCTGAGAGCAATTGTCTGAGGACTGTAGATCCTGCTCCAGCATAACAGGGTGAATTTGGTAACCTCAGGATGCTTCCCAGCAGCTGAACCCTGGAGAGTCCAGAACTGGGCTGGCGAGTGTCAGAGAAGGCATTGGCCCTCAGATCTGTGTCAGGCACAGTGAGACCTTTGTTGAAGTTAGATCCCAGGTCTTTCTGATGCAAGTAGAGGGACAGAGTTTGTTAAACGCACAGACTCCTCAATGGGTCCTGGAGGCCAGGTTGTTCTTGCTGTGAGCTCCTGGCTTTTGGAGAATAAGTAGTTTTGTCAGCTGCTTTCCACACTTTGTCCCTCAACCTTGGAAAAGATTAGAAGGAAACCATGAAAGCAGGCATGGGAAGAAGCTGTCGAGTGTGGGACAGGATAACAGTGACTGCTTGCTGGCTCTCCCCTCTCGCTGGAAATTCGCACTGACCGTGTCTTGTTCTCATCATCTGGCTGACGAGTGGGAGCAGGGGCAGAACCACGTACCAGTATCTCCCTCATTATTACAAAACGAAATCTCAGTTGCAGCTGCCCTCTGCTCTCTAACACGGTCTAACGAATGGTAGCGTACCGTACAGAGGTGCACCTCACGTGTCATGTGCTGTTCCTGTTTTCCTTCTGTGCATTGACATACAGGTAGCGTACCGTACAGAGGTGCACCTCACGCGTCATGTGCTGTTCCTGTTTTTCTTCTGTGCATTGACATACAAGAAATAGGAACTGGTATTTTGCTTTTAAGCAGAAGTCAGAGTCTGGAACCGCAGGTACTGCCTTGGAAGTGTGCTGGTGTGGTGTTTATCCAGTGCTGACACCGCAGGCAGAGCTGACTTCCCAGAAAGCAGCAGCAGTACTTCACTGGCTGTTCAGGAGCCTGTCTGTCTTTGAAGAGGAAGATGGTGGTGTGCAGGAGACTGTATTGCCGTATGATCTGCCAGCCTGGACCGGCGACATCAGCGTGTGGCAACTGTTTGGGTG